TCCATGTCATAAGTAGGGCGCCCTGAAGATTCCGAATCTGTGGCACAAGAAGCTTCTCCGACCGCCGCTTTGCGGGCGCTGACCGCGCACACTGAGTACCTGTTGGACTCCTGGCAATGGCTGGCAAAACATGGTCCCTCAGGAGACGGTAGGCAAAGCCGGTGGGCAAACCGATAGCAGCTGGGGTCAACATCTTGTATTAGGAACAAGTGCATCGCTACTAGGAACAAGTGCCTTACTAGTAGTAACAAGAAGCTATTAGGAACAAGTGCATCGCTTCTAGTACCAAGTGCCTTCTGAGATTGTCAAGTTTGGAAAAGATTGGGCTCTGTCTCAAAACCGGGAGACCTTGCTTGACCACGAACAGAATAGACATGAGACTACAAGGGAGTCAACCTACCAGGGTTTTGCGTTCCGAGCTTTGGGTTTTGACACACTGCTTAGGTTGGAGGCCATTCCTATTAGGTGTCTTTCATGCTCAGAAGGCATGACCAATCGATGTCTTCGGATGTTCTCCTCCAGGAGAAGATTGCACCGCGGCCCCACGGCCGCCGATGTTTGTGGCAGGCGGGAGTGGTGAGAGTCTGGTGAGAGTCTTGTGAGATATGGACCAAAGGCCTTTCACAAAGCGGAGACTTGGAAGTACAACCACTTTTTGCGAGGTCAAAAGACGAAGAATCGAAAGCATACTTAGTAACAGGTGCCACGCTAGTAGTAACAGGTGCCTTACTAGTAGTAACAAGAAGCTATTTTTCAGTACTTTATGTCTTGCATGTCTTGATGATTTCTTGCATCTCCGGCGTCATTGTGTTGTTTGGTCGAGGGAGATTTGAGAGGTTTGGACCAGCCTAGGAGCGGCCTAGTAGCGTCCTTGTTCCTAGTAGGGACTAGCCTCCAACCTAGTAGTGGTGGCCTTGAGCCTCGTAGCTTCTTGTTACTACTAGTAAGGCACTTGTTACTAGTAGCGATGCACTTGTTCCTAGTAGCTTCTTGTTACTACTAGTAAGGCACTTGTTACTAGTAGCGATGCACTTGTTACTAGTAGCGATGCACTTGTTCCTAGTAGCTTCTTGTTACTACTAGTAAGGCACTTGTTACTAGTAGCGATGCACTTTTTCCTAGTAGCTTCTTGTTACTACTAGTAAGGCACTTGTTACTAGTA